TGAGCGGGCGTGTTTAAGATATATGATGCGTCGGAATCGCCCAGTTGGGCGGCGTGTTTGAAATACATGATGAACGGGAATCCCCCGATGGGAGGCGACGTGTTGAAGATGTATGATGACCCGGAATAGCCAGATGAAGGGACACACTTAAGATATATGATGAACCGGAATCGCCCAACAGGCACGCATGTTTAAGATATGTGATGAAACGGAATTGCTAACATCGCGTTTAGTTGGTATGGTGTCATTGCGTTTTTCCATTAATTTCTGTTGCTGCTGTTGCTGTTTACTGTTTTCTAGCGGCTCATTAGGTTGATTATGTAGCTTTCCATGATTTCTGAAATGGTTTTCGATTGTTTTTTTGCGCTAGCAGAGACACAAAGATGCAGATAACCGAGAACAAAAAAGCAGATAACCCAGTAAGCAAGCCCAAAGAAAGGCAGGGCCCTAGAAAACAAGCCAACAAAGAGGCAGATAACAAAATAAATACGCAGATAACCCACAAACAACGACGCAGATTGCTTCTTCTCCGCCCCAAGGTCGACGGCCCTGGCCTGGTGTTCCCAGCGCCGGACCGCCTCGAGTTCTGCCTGCAGCTTCCGCAGCGGGTCGTTGCCTCACCCAGAAGACGCAACTCGACTCCGGCCGGCCGCCCGGAGCCCTGCGCCCTGCGCCTTCCGTGGCCAAGGCCTTCGCCTCGGGGAAGGGCCGCAAAAAGCGGGCGATCGGCCAGCGCCTTCTTGGGCCCTCGGCCAGCCACTCCGGCAGGTCGTAAGGCCCGGCGTCCAAAACGTGCTGCCATCGCCAAGCCAAGACCTGCTGGCGCGCGCGCGAGCTCGCGAAGGCAGCGACTAATCCGTTTTGAAGGCTTCGCAGCTGAGGACCCATCGGCACCCCGCTGTGCAGCGCCGAATTGAGAGATGATGTTCATGGAACCTGCCCAAGATCTGCCAAGGAACTCCTTCTGGGAGCTTCATTTCTTCGCTCCTTCCAGGCCGCTGGCACCAGCAACAGCTTGCACGTCATGCCGCACTGCGGCCTCCTGCACTGCTCAGGGCTTTAGTTGGCCTTAGCCGGCTAAAGAAGCGTGCGGTAAGCCTGGATGGAGATGCCCTTCCAGTAGGCTCCGCCGGAGTTCACCTGACAAACCACGAAATCCGACGACTGGCACCCACGGAAGCACCAGACGCCTCCAGACCCAGCCGGTACTCGTGACCTGGGCGCATCCCTTGAACGTTTTCTTCAACAGCGTGACTCGGCTGAGATTCTTCGTCTCTCTACAGCGCCAACCGGCCACCGAGACGATATTGACATTTAGTGAAGTTAGTGGTTTGCAACTGCAGAGAAACCGCCAAATCCTTCGCATGAAGCAGCTGTCTGGGGAACCTGCAGGGAACAATCTCCTGAAGTGACGGGAACACTTGCGACCAAAAGATATGCGGCAGACCTAAGCGAGACTCCTCGTTGTGGAGCAAAAAGCTTTGACCATCGTAAGCCTGTTCGGGTCGCATCGCATCAACATCGAAAACAGTTTCACATGAATCTGAGCCTCCAGGAAGGAGTCAAGGTACGTTCCCCCGGAGATGACCTCTCAAGGCAGCAAGTGGTCGTCTTGTGCCCCCCCCCCCTTCTCGTGGCCGGCTTAAGTAGGGTCTATTTGGAAGCTGGAACTGCTTGTTTACCTATGCCAGCCTTCTATGAATATTAAAGACAAGGGCTTTCTTTGGGTGACGGTGCTCTGGAAAACCTTCAAGTGCATTCAATCACAAGAAATGTCCCCCACATCTTGTTGGTGCAAGGAGTATCCCCCTCATCCTGCTTTGCCTTGCCCCCCTGCTCTAGCCGGACAAACCGAACAAACAAACCGCAAGCCCTGGTCCCTATCATTTTCCTTTTTACGTCTTTTTCTATTGGCCTATTGGAAAAGAACTCAGCCAAAAAATCTTAGGGACCAAGCCTTGCGATGTGTCTCCTTGCAGAAGAGCTTAAACCCCAAATATGAAAGACTTGTCTCTTTGGCATAGGGTGCTGTGGAAACCTTCAATTGCAAGGAGTGTTCCCCTCGTCCATTCTGTTTGCAAAACCTTCGCACAGAAGGATTCCCCCCTCATGTTGTCTGCGATGAGGCTCTAGAATACCTTAGCTGAGAAGGATTGTCCCCCCCTTGTTTTTCTGTTTTCAGGCGATGATGCTCTAGAATCCTTGATTCGCAAAAAGTCCCCACATCATCTTTTTAAGGAGCTGATGACCTTCAATTGCAAGGAGTGCCTCCCTCATCCCTTCATCTTTTCTGGCGATGATGCCCTGAAAAACGTTCAATCACAAGGAGTGTCCCCCAGATCTTTTTTGGTGCAGGGAGTACCCCCCTCACCCTGTTTTGCCTGGCCCCCCCTGCTCCGGTCCGCGCTTTCCAAAACCTAAACAAGGGGGAGCCGCAGGCCTGGGTCCCCAAGATTTTAGTCGAAGCTTTCCTTCAAATAGACAAACCGCAAGCCCTGGTCCTCATGTATTGAAGAAGAACTTAAACCAAAATCTTGGGGACCAAGCTTTGCGACTTGTCTTTTGGAGGAGAACAAAAACCCCAAACAAAAACATGAGAGACTAAGGTTTGCAATTTGTCCCTCTGGGTTAGAGTGCCTTGGAAAACCGTCAATTGCAACGAGTGAACCCGTCATCCCCTCGTTTGTTCTGGCGATGATGCTCCAGAAAACCTTCACTCGCAAGGAATGTGCCCCTCACGTCTTCTCGCGATGATGCTCTAGAAAACCTTGAATCGCACAGAGTGTCCCCATCATCTCTTCACCTTTTCTGGCGATGATTCTTTAGAAAACCGTGAGTCGCAAGGAGTGTCCCTCTTATCCTTTAAAGATGTTTGTTCCAAGTTTTCCTCGACAAATCGCAAGCCCTGGTCCCTAAGATTTTGGGTTTGAAGTCCTGCTCCATGGGCGGGGAGAACTTATACCAAAAACCTTGCGGACCAAGGCTTGCGATCCGGTTCTCTGGAGGAGAACTTAGACCCAAAATGTGAAAGACTAGGGCTAGGGCTCGAATTAAAAAAACTTTCAGTTGCAAGATGTGCCCCCCTCATCCCTTCATCTTTTCTGGCGATGACTCTAGAAAACCTTCGCTCAAAAGGATTGTCCCCCTCTTCTTTATTGGATCAGAACTGACACCAACAATCTTAGGGACCAAGGCTTGCGATTTGTCACGTTTGTTTTGGTGAAAGAAGACAGAAAAAGGGGCCAGAAATTGCTGAAACAAGAACGGGCCGGACCACAGCATAGACTGACAAGATGGACCTTATTGTCGGTGAAAAAGGAGGGAACGGGAAAGGGCCAGAGAATAACTTAACAAAGCGGCGGCGTGCCTGTCCTGATTTAGCGAGACAAGGTCGGCCCACAGCGTGGACTAACAAAATGCTTTTCCGGTGGTCAAAGACGAACGGGAAAGAGCCAGAACATAGACTAACAAAAGAAGGCTTTTTCGGTAACAGGGACAGAGAATTGGTTATCAAAGCGGGGTGCTTCTTTTGGTGAAACTAGGAGGGGCCGGCCCCAGCAAAAACTAACAACATGGTGCCTTTTTGTCGGCGAAACAAAAGAAAGGGAAAGGGAAAGGGGCCAGGGCATTCACTAACAAAATGGGGCTTGTTTTTGGTAAAGGGGCCACAGAATAGATTAACAAAGTTGCGTGTCTTTTGTGGTGAAACAAGCAGGGGCCGAGGCCCCAGCAGAGACTAACAAAATGTGGCTTTTTTCTCGATGAGAAAGAGGAAAAGGAAAGGGACCACACACAGCATTGACTAACAAAATGGGCACTTGTTTTCTTTAAAGGGACCAAAAACATAGGGTAACAAAGTGGTGTGTCTTTTTGGGTGAACCGGGAAGTGGCCGGGCCACAGCTAAACTAAAAAAGTCTCGGTAGAGGGGACCCAGCATAGACTAGCAAAATGAGGCTTTTCTTTGTCGGCGAAAAAAGGAAAGCGAAAGGGGCCGCAGCATTCACTGACAAAACGGAGCTTGTTTAGGTTGACACAGTGGCGTATCTTTCTTGCAGGAGCAGAACTTAAACAAGACAAATCTTGGAAACTAAGGGTTGTATTTGTTTTTTCGGGTGAGGGTGGAAAGGGTGGGAGGGTGCGAGAGGTGGAGCAGGCTGGAGATGAGGGCGTGAGGTCGGGCGGGCTGTGGGGTGACGGTGTGGAGAGGCGTAGGGTGGGCATGGAGGGTAGCAGCGGTGGATGAGAGGGTGGGACCAGTGAGAGAGGTGAAGAGGAGGGTGGGGTTGGGGTGGATAACAAGGTAATTAAAGTGATTAAAATGTGATAACACTGTGATAAGAATTGGAAAACGGTGATAAAGGGCGATAAAAGGTGGTGAAAGGGTGATCAAAAGTGATAAGGTGATGAGGAAATGATATAAGAAGCGGTGGAGCGCGCGAGCACGGGTGGTGACAAAAAATAGTTGCTAGGACAGAAGCTGAATGGTAAGGGTGTAGGGTGGAGCAAGGGAGGATGGCTCCCCCCGGATTTAAACCATATGACCCCCAAAGGCCCCCGAACCCCCTCCACCGAATTTACTCGTCAATTCGGGGCGCGGAATTCAAAACATAGAATAACTTAAAAATGAATACTTCAAACAATTAATTCCTGGGGAGGGGTCCCGGAGAGCTTTGCGGGCCGTGAATGAAAAAATATCAAACGTGTAAATCCCGGGCCGCCCCCCAAATGTACATTATTTAATCCTTTGGAGGGGCAGTGAGGTAGGGGCAGGGAGGAGGGTGGAGGGGCAGTGGGGGTACAGGGAGACAGGGAGCAGGGAACAGGAGGGCAGGGATGTGGAAGGGGGGAGCAGTGGGGAGGGGTAGGGCAGGGGAAGGGTAAGTTTAATTCGCTTCCAGATTTACATTGTTTTAAATTATGTAATTCTCGGTCCACACTAACAACCCAGGGCCCCGGGACCCCTGCCAATTTTTGAAATCATTTAAAAGAATTGAATGATTTAAAATTAATTCCGGCCCGAAAGAAATCAACTAAGTTTTGAATCTGGAGGCCCCTTCAATCTTCAAATCAATTAATTGATTTAGTTCCCGGCCCGAATTACATCCTTTAAATCTGGATTATAATTCAAATAATTCTGAATAGTTTACATAATTCGAATAATTTAGATGTTGGGAAGGGCTGTCCCGGGCCCTGGGAGGCTAGCGCAAACCGGGAATTCAATAATTTAACTGTACTTCGAGGAGGGCTCCAGATTGAAATTATGTAATTTGTTTAACTCCCTGTCTGCGCTAACCTTCCACCCCCCCTCCCAATATTTATATCATATAATTTACATCTGGAGGCCCCCTCAATATTTAATATATCTAAAAGGGAACACCAACAGGGTTCATTTGGAAGCTACCTCTTGTGTATATAATAAGGAATTAGAGCATCATTTCCTCGGTACAGTACCAGAGCCAGCTTCCAAATCAAGCCCCCGCCCCGGAATCCCTTCGCCTCCTCCACCTCTGCAGGCAGGCGCTCCCGGCCCTCTGCCTGGCGCCTCTCCAGTGCCTGTCTCCTCGAGTGACACGTGGAGAGAGAATCTGAGAAGCGCCATTGCAGGGGCATTTTGTCAAAGTTTCTTTCAGCGCCTCAAAGCTTCCCGGCAGCTCTCGAGGTGCCGCTGACTGGCCCGGAAAACGTCGATGACGGCCTCCAGCTTCTCCTCCAAAGATCCGCCCGGCCTTGGCTGTATCGGTACAAACAGTTCGAGACAGCTCAGATTCCCTCTTCATGCGGGCCACACTTGAGACTTCTTTGTCTTGTGGTTTGGGTCGGCTTCTGAGTCTACTTGGCCTTAAGGCTTTGGCGTACGGACCTGCTCGAGGAGGTCGTCGCTCATGCCGGGCACCTCGCCCGAAGCCAAATCCGGCCCTTGCCGGCTCTGGCGCACCTCGCAGTGCTCTCAGCAGAGCTCTCAGTGCTCACTCAGCTCTCGGAGCGACAGGCCGAGCTCTGAGCCCACATTGGCGTGGACTGTGGCGCAAAGCCGCAACTCTTCTTCACATCCTGGACCTCGGAACTTCTCTCACTCTCGTACTAGTAGAGCCGGAACAAGAACCCATTGGTCCTTTGGGCAGGCACCCAAACCCACCATGCACTCTTCGCCATCGCGCGGCTCTGGCTCGATAACACGCTCCGGGAACACTGCTTCCCTACAGTAAATGCTGGGAGCAAAGCTCTCTGCAAGCCCCTGATGCTGCTAGCATGAAACAGTGAAACACCACGAATCGAGCCTTGGAGCGACCGTCGGGACTAACTTCACTGAATGATCCGGTACAAAAAGGACCCCCTGGCCCACGCCCGACATCGACAAACATGTCTGATCCTTTTCCGCACCCCTCCAAGACGATCTCGACGATCATTGCCCGTCTTCGCCAGACCGACCTGAGCTCCTCAGCTCCTGCTTCCCGTGCCCCCGTGCCCCGCTTCCGGCCGCGGCTTCTTCATGTCGCTCTCCGATCCTTCCAAGACTTGGCGGGGATGTCGCGAATCATCAGTGCCATCCACCTCTTCCACGGCCGTTCTTGCCGCCAGCACCTCTTCCGCCTTTGCTCCCGTAGCCACCACCACCACCACCACCACCATCCCAGCCGCCGTTCCAGCCCATTCCGCCACCTCCACCCCAATCGCCGCCTCCACCGCGGTATCCCATGCTGTTGCCAATCTGCTCCTTCGAGACGAAAAACTTATCCAGCTGGCTCAAACGTCCCCTTGCAGGGCAATTTGACATGACTCAACTCGCCGTGACTGCACAGCTGCATAGCTCCCACATCGGCCACAAGTACTGCACTCAACTCAGCCGGAGAAGACTTTGCGCGTTCCAAGCCTGAAGCTGTGGAACTTCGTCTCGAAGAGCTTGATGTTCTCGTTGACAACATCTTCCTCATAGGCCGTAGTCACACGGTTACGCGTTGCGGCAAATCCTGCGCAGAACTGATCGTGTCAAGCAACCTTGTCCAGGATTCCTTCCTTAGTTCAACAATTTATACCCGTTCCCAATGGGGCACACGCACAAAGAATTTGCCGAGCTGCCGCTACCTGTAGGCATTGCTTTTCCTCGGTGGCACATGCAGCAAGCCTATTTATGTGTGGGTATTGGTCAAATTTGCAGCTCCGGGACCATGTAGGCTCGGATGGGCGGCCGGCACAGCTCTGCATCCAGCTCCTGGCCACCACATGCTGAGAACAGAGTCTTCCAGCTGTGCGTGAACATCGTGAACTGTGTTGCTGCAATTGCAAGTGCACCGGGAGTCGGAGATGCAGGGCGTGGGTCGCGGGGCAGCGCGGCAAGGAAGGGGAGCGGAGTGGCAGGGATTGGCAGAACGAAATCGTGTTGAACCACTTCCAGACAGACCTGTCACAACGGCGTTCTTCACCCATACCATGCACGCGCAAGTTACTCAAAGATTATGCCAGCATATCGCTCCCAAACGACCAGGACCAGCACGACGACCAGGATACCACTCATGCACTGGCAGGATGCACGCATGTTGAACAAAATGATTCCAATGCACTGGAACTTGAACTTGCTTCGAGTCGCACTTTCCGGAAAATGGCCCCACCGATCGCGTGTAAACGCCCCTCTCACGCCAGTTTCAGCCGCACTAACCAGCTAAATCTCGACTCTCGACCTTGTCAAGTATCAAAGCCGCTTAGAACACCAACAAATGTTTGGAACCGCGGCCAGTGCACCAGAAGACCAAAGCCAGACCCCAAGAAACCACCCCGACATGTGCGGAAACCACCCAAAGACCAGAGGGCAGCGCAAAAAGGCCAGGACTGGGACGACGACCAGCACCACTCAAGTTGCTCCCACGCCGGAGCCTCGGAAGCTCACTCGGCCGCGACGGGCCAGACGGGCCAACAAGGGCCAACACGGGCCACGGGCGCCGGGACACCGGCAGGACAGGGCAGAGCACCGCAGAACCAGCTTTCTCTCCTCGAAAGCTGCGCAGAAGCTGAGTCCCAGTGATGTCGGAACCTCCGAATGCTGTCGTCTTGGCGGCAGTGGAAACGACTTTGCGCTGAGGCACTGACCATGTGCCGCGATTGCGGCTTCTCGCCGCCTTGAGCCTTTCCGTCTTTGCCCTTGCCTTTGCCCTCCAAAAGGAAAAGCATCAAAGGCGAAGGCACGACCACACCGTGACACCCTCCAAGCGCCACCTTCCCGGCCTTCCCCTTGCCTTTCTTGCCTCCCTTTGGTATTCTCTCGCCGCGCTGGCCGTCTTCTCCAGGACCACAGACCATCACATAGTTCCGGTTGCAAATGTTCTCCTCAGAAACACTTAGGACTTAGGAGTCACTCCATTCTTCCAAATAAAACTCTCAGCTCAGGCACCACGTGCTGCGGGATACTGGCATCCGTACCAATGCCGTGCTTGTCCATCAGAGCCACCAGCTCACTCTCCTTCCTCAGTAGCGCCACCAAAAGGCTCCCACTCGCTAGCAAATTCGGGAGAGCCTGTTTTGAGCTCCTGGCAAGTAGTCTGGTGGCTTTGTGAAATCGCTCTCGACCCAAACCTCCTCCACACGGAGAGGGCTTCCCGGTGCCAGCCGGGGCATGGCCCAGTCGATCTCGTTCAGATTCAGATCTTTGCTCTTCCAGGGCATGGCGAAGAGGAAGCCCCTGCGGTTCAGGTAGGGAGGTAGGCCCGCCCCGGCCCCACAAATGAGGCTTCACAACTGCCTCTCCCGCATCTCGTGGAAGGTGTAAGCGAAGTCTTCCCCACCAACGTTCACGATCAGGGCCTGTGGCTCTCGCGTCGAATCCTTGGACACCTCAACAGTAGCGCTCCTTCTCATCATACTCCACGTCCGGCATCAGTGAGGCGATAAAGTGCCTCATAAGGAGATGCGTGCGTCCGCGTCTTTGGGAATTCGCACAGAGAAACACCGAAACACCAACACCACAAGAGCTTGCAGTCGATGGCCTGGTGATGAAGTCGTAGAGCCGCCACTCAGATCCTCACGATCGAATTCACCCTGGCCCATCGTATCCACCTTTTGCCCTATGGTACTTGTGGACAGCACCTGGCCTTTGCTGAACTCGTCCCGGGGTGCGGCCTTCATAGGAGTAATGGGTGGGTGGTCCCCCACATCGCGGCCAGTCTTCGGATTCCGGATCTGCCCTTGGCGCAGCAAATGGCTCACCGTCTTTCCCCAGGCCGGATGGTCTGCTTGCTCTCGCAAGGCTGCGTGAAGGTCAAATGTGTCCGAGTACCTCAGGGGAACCCAGCTGCTCGGCTAGAAAGGCAGCTGTCACACAGCCGAGCCTGGTTGTCTCGGTGCGGGGATAGGAGATGTAGCCAGAGGTATAAAGATGCTCAGCCACCTTCATACACTGCACCGGCGACATTCCTCAGTTTGGGAGAAGCCACAAGCCGCACTTGCTCCAAGTGATCACGGCACCGGCATCGCTGGAGAGTCGAGCGGCCAAGACCAGTGCTCGCGGCTTTCAGTAGCTGCACGGTGTTCAGGCCTCCGTGTGAACACCATGGTCAACGAAGTGCACACTGCGACTGTCCTCCTGCCGCCCTGAAATCAGCCAGAAAGTGAAGGGGCGCGGCCAACCGGCTTCTTCAGGGTCTTGGCAGTGGTCCTTCTCCGATTCGAATCAACGCCATGGTGGCTTCGCGCTTCGCAAGCTCCTGGCCTGAGCTCCTTGACGACTGCCTGCTTCGCCGACTGTGCCCGTGACTGCAAGGACTTCACGCGACCTCCACAGACTTCTCAATCACTGTCTCCAATCACTGGCCTTCCTAACCTCCGCTGGTCGCGCCTGCATCAAAGGTCTGGTCGTGGAGCCAATCGAACTCCAAAGGCCAGCCGTCCAAGTTCACAGAAACTTTGGGCTTGTAGAACTCTTGCCTCGAGGCTGTGACAACGAGCGGGGGCCCTTTCCGTGACCACCCTTGCCCGCCTCTGGAAGTTTTGAATCTCCTTGTGCCTTTCGACGCCTCTGCGAGAGAGACCAGAACGTCGGGGCGTTGCGACCCTTCCCTTCCACAGAGCGCCCGGCAAAACCAAAGTGTGGGTGTCTGGCAAGGCCCGTAGCTCAAGCAAGTTTGATCTCGCAGGCGGAACCTCGAGCCATCTTGCAGAATTCGGACAGCACCTTCTGAAAAACGGATCCTGGAGTCCTGCCCTCGGTTTTGGCAAGGGACTTCTCTATTGCGTAGCGCAAAAACTGGCGAGTCATGAGCCGCGTGAAGATGCAACCGATCTTCAGGTCTAGCTCCTGCCGCTCTGCGATGCCCCGTCCACACTTCACAACATCCGCAGCAGCCCGTCCTGCCGAGCATCCACCTGACGTCCCCCCACAGACACACAAACGGACGGACGGACGGACGGACCCACCCACCACACACAGGCACACATACACACGCAAACACACACACAGACACACAAACACACACACACACACACACATACACACACACACACACACTCTGAAGAAGTGTAGTCTGCACTCCCGGATGGGTTCCCTCAAGGGGATGCTACACGGGATGATTATGATGAGGTTGGTGATGGTGATCATAACGAAAGCGCGACACTTATGAGATGAAAGTTTTGTGCAGGTATGCCAGACCAAAGGAATGGCATACGAAAACGAGTTGAAATGATCCGTCAGGGGTATGGCTTCTGCCCATTGCTTCGCCAGACACAGGGGAATGACGTAGCACGAAATGAGATGAAAAGTGAACGAAGGTGAGTGCCCCGCCAGCTGCCCACGACGGGGCCCATGCGCAAGCAAAGCGGAGCTCCCTTGCATCCCCTCCCTCACCCTGCAGAAAGATGGGCTGTGAACCCCTATCCCATGACCGAGGGAAGTCCACACACACACACACACACACGCGCCGATATTTAGATCTATGAATATATATATATATATATACACTTATGTACATAGGACAACAAATACATGTATGTATAATATACATATATATATATATATGTACATACCAGGGTCTTCTAAGTTGCGGGCTTGGGGTAAACATGTCTTGCAGTAGCGGAAAGTCCCTTAACTGTTGTGTTTTCTGTCCATGGGGTCTTGGTGCTGCAACTGTCATGTTTGGGCTCGTTTTTGAATGAGAAACATCAACTGAACTACGCCATGGCCAAGCAGGTTCACGGTAATTTGACTGGTTACGTGGCCCGAAGACCAGCATCCAGGGCCGCAGCAGCGGCTGCCAACCGAAAAGCACGAAGCTCAGCCACCACCATACTCCTGCAACCGTGGAGTCAATCGCCACTGGGAGCCCATGAGCTAGGCCTCCTCCTCCGGCTCGGCACCAAGCCGCTCACGGACAGCTTCACCCAGCCAGCGCAGCCGAGCCTTCGCCTCCACCAGGCCTTCACTGACTCCAGGCCAGCCGAGCCTTCGCGTTGGCCCCGGCGGGGGGACCCTTGGCCTGAGCTCACCGCCAGGCATGCCATCACAGAACCAAGCGACGTGCTCCCAGTCGGGCACCACCAGAGCACCACACCACGGACACGGTGGCGCGGCCCGGCCATGCCTGCGCTTCATGTAGAACGCCGGCGAATGGGCGGCGCCGACCATGACTGCCTTGCCATCCGACGCCGCGGCCTGGTACAGGAGGATGGCCTTGCGAACCTGAGCCTCACTGAAGCGCCACTGCGACAATGCACGGGAATCCCTCCGATCAGCCTGTACGAAGCCATCGTGAAGCCGCTGCCTCCACTGTGCACGGACCTTATGCTCGAGGGAGCCCAGGTCCTCGCTCACGGCATCGATGCGCCTGCCAGCGGTGCTGAAGACGCCCGTCCCCGTGGTGCCAGCCATGTCCAGCCAAGAAGCTGCGGGCTGTAGCAAACCAAGTGCCATCACCTAGGTGTTCGGCCAGGCGCGCAGCAACGCCAGAGTGGCGCCATGCCCTCAAGGAGTGAAGCCCTGCCATGAAGCCCAGGTCCATGCAATGGCCACCCAAGAGTGTGCGGAGGCAGGTGCTCCCCATGCGATGTCCATACGTGACGCGCTTGAGAAGCGCGATAAACTGTGCAAGGACCTCCTTGGGCACGGGCCGAAACAGATGACCCCAACTCGCCTTAGGGATGATTCGAGTCCTCCACAAGTCTCGCCGAACATCGGCGGGCACAGCCTGATTGACCAACTTGAGCCCTCTCCTCAGTGCTTCGGACAAGCGAGCCTCAGCGGTAGGACTTGGCCCGCCTGGTGCATCCGTGAAGTCAACCCCAAGAACCCTCACCGATCCCTGAAGAAGAGCCCCTAACCCAAGCTCCCTAAGCCTAAGAGCTGAAGCAGCATCACGGGTAACAATGGCTTGCTTGCGCCTGTTCTCTTTGAGGCCGAGGGCCTCGGACCGCCGCGCCCAATGCGCAAGCAGCCTTGGCACGTCCTCAGGGCCCGACGTGAAGGCCCTGTCATCGAGAAAGATGCTCTGCACAAAGTCTCCGCATCCCAACTGCCGCGCTTCAGCACACGGGGCTGCGAGAAGCACGTTAAGGGCCAGTGGAGACAGGCCATCGCCCTGGGGCATAGCAGAACACACTTGCTGAGCCTCACTTAGGGCATATCCCCCTAGCTCAAGGAACCTTTCCTGTGACCACGCATGAGCCATGGCGGCCAGCAGCACCTTCGGGAAGCCGGCGGCCTCCAAGACCTTGAGGACCATCTCCGGATGGACATGGTCAAAACACTTGGCCAGGTCCAGGCTCGTCAGCACTGCACCGCGCTGACGCCTCCAGCACCTCACAGCCATATCATGATCACCCTGAGGCCTGTCCCAAATCTCACGCCAAAAGTCACGGAGGTGGCCCAGGCTAGCACCAACTGACAAAGGCCCGGGGTCCTCGTTATCCGAGAGGCTGTGCGGTGCCACCCGAGTGATGACCTGGCCTTTGCCCTTAAGCCAACGTGAGGCTTCACTGCCCCGCTTAGCCATGTCGCGCTGCCACCGACTGACGGCCGCGCGAGTGCGCTCGTGCTGAGCATCCGCGATGGCCTGCGCCACCACGGCCAACGCCTCCCCCAGATCAGGCGGGAGATCGCCAAAGCGCCGCGGCCACGACCGGAGAACGTTGGCCTGGACCTCGCTCACATCTCTGCCTGCACCTGCCTGACGCTGCCATTCCCTGAGTCGGCCTTGCAACTTGAGGAGCCGCTTAAGGTGGCAGGATTGGTTCTCCCGTGCACCTCGGGCTCCGGGCTCGTGGACCTGGACCTCAAAGCCTGAGCCTTTTGGGCGGCGCCTCGGAGGATCGTGGATGGACGCCCCGCAGGCGACGGTGGCGCTTCGCATGATGTGCTCGGCCTGGGAGTTGAACCATTGCCACTCGCCTTCAGTCGTCATGAGACCAACGAGGGGAGGCTGGACATCCTCCCACAGCTCGGCCTGAGCCTGAGTCCATGCCGTGCCTGAGACCCCTTCAGGGAGGGGGTACTGAGTGGTGGGCCTTGCCTTGAGCAACCCTCCCGGTATCGCAGCTGTGGCCCTGCGGGCCCTGAAGTGGTCCCCGATAGTGCACGGGCACAGATCGAGCTCACCCACCTCGACCCCTAAGACCGAAGTCAATGCACCGGTGCCCTGCAACCCGAGTCGGCCTCGGCCGTCCCGCCTCGTCCAGCGCCGCATGCTTGCGACCCTGCTCGCAATGGAAGCCAGCAAACTCTGCATTGTGATCGCCAAGCGCGACCGCAGTCGCCCCGACGCCGAGACACTCTCCCAGCATGCTCTGATAGAGCTCGACGTCGCCGTCCGGCTTGCGGTGCCAGTTGTGGTACAGGCACCCGCCAACCTTCACCGAAAGGCCCCCAAACTCACCCTCAAGGACCCTATCCCCGACCCTATGCGAAGGGAGGCCATGACGCACCAAAGTGACAAGCCCGCCTCTGCACAAGCGGCGGCCCATACTGTCCGCTCTCTCCTCAGCACACCTAGCATAGACATGGAGGACCCTGCGCTCGGCCATACGGGTGAGCTCGACAAAGAGGGCCTTTGAGGTGTTGGGCCCCTGAACGAGAATCACGTCCCAACCTGCAAAGCAGTCCAGATGCAAGGCCTGGGCTAGATTGCTGAAGCCCTGTGCATTCCACGAAAGCACCCTGTGGCACGATGATGGCCCCGGGTTGGGTTCCACATCGCCGTCCTCGGTGAGGTCCTTGACCCATCCCCCGTGCTTCGGCGCAGGCCGCAAAGGGACCCGGAAGCGGCCCGAAGCGGCCGAACCGGCCTCCTTGCGATCACGTGTGGCACCATGTGTTTTAACGCCCTGGCCTGTCTGGCTGCCGTGACTTGCGCAGTGCCGGCTGGCATTGTGCCTGCACACCTGTGGCGAGGAGCTCCGCGAAGCCTCTTCCTGAAGGGCCTTGAGCTCGCTCGGCTTAGGCCTGAAGTGCTGAAGGCAGACTTTCCTTCCGAACAGCTGGCAGACGTCGGCGTTACCCGCCGGGACAACGTGGCCCTTGGCCACCAAGATTTGCCGCAAGTTCTGCATCAAAGTCGCCTGTGCTGGCGCATGACTGCACCTTGCCAGGTGTGCTTTGGCCGATTTGCCGATCGCATACGAAGTGGGAAGCCTCGGAAGAAAGCGATGGCAGTAAGCACACATCCAGGCCGGATCCGGAGTGTCCGGCGTGGGCGTCACCAGCTTGACATACGACCGGATGTCGGTAAAACGGTCGAGGGGAGTGTCCGGATGGACCTTCTTGATGTGTGCATACCTGCCGACGGAGAGCTCACGCATGGTGGAGGCTTTCACAATCATGCTGCACAGGTTGCATTGCCACTGCTTTTTCCGGCCTACTGTGACACTGCGGACCCTAGCCTTACTCACTCCCTGCGCCACTTTGCGCATGCGCTGTGACCGCTGGGCCTCGCACGAGCCCGGCATCGCGCTGCCTAGCTGCTTCTTATCACCGCTGGCAACCTTGGGCGGGCTACCATCCTCGTCAGAGGTCACCTGGGGGATCCACGAATCATCAACAGCCTCCTTGCCGAAGCCGGCGCCTTCTGGTGCCCCGCGCTGCCGTTTGCCGCCACCGCGGGGAGCAAAGCTCTGGGAAGCGGCCGGAGCCGCCGCATCCTGCCGGATGTAGTCGGGCAGCTTCTCTCCCTTGGGCAGGAGGAGCGTGTAGTGCCCCAGCGAGTGGTGCAAGTACAGAACCGTAGCGGACTTAGGGTTGAGGTAAGAAAGAACCTGGTCAGGCTTCTCCGCAAGCTACCGCAAACCAACTGCAACGAAACTCCCAGCAGCGCTGCCGCCGCACGAAAGCTGATCTCGTCGGCCCACCTGGCCGGTCGCCAGATGGCTGTCAAGTACTCTTG